ATGCCGAAGAACCAGAGGAAAAGCCCACACATTCCGGCACACACACACATTGGCTTTCGTGTTGAAAACTCCGTCCCAGAACGTTGCTAATTTCATAAATTAAGCAAAATTAACACGTCATCGTGGGACATTTTTTTGCTTCTTCTTTTTTCATCATACATATTCGGTGAATATTAAAATTCAACGAGGCCAGAGTGCTCATTCATATTTTCACTCGGAACTCAGAGCGGCAGGACGAAAACACTTCCATGGCAATCAAGTTTAACCAGAATTTCCCACTTAAGCCTTCAGCTTCAGTAAAATGGGTTTTATTTTTTTTCGCTTGGGTTTTTTGGGTTGGCAGCTGCCTCTGGTCTCTCTGTTACTTTTACCTCGGTGCCCCAGTTGACCTGGTTGCCCATTGTCCTTGCTCGGGGAATATATATATACGTATATGTCAACTATTTGATGGTCCATCTGTTTATCCGACTGTCTATCTGTCATTCTGTTTGTCTATTTGTCTTTTTGCCCGTTTGTTGGGCGCCAACTTTGTTAATGTCCTGCCGGATTGTCTACAAGGCTTAGTGGATCCATTTCATTACTCGGCATGTGGATTGTGAACTTTAAGGCCAACTAAATGTGTGCACTTTAAAATAAAATATAATACATTTGGAAACAATAACTTAGGGATGCAACTTTTACATGCCTTAAAGCTTTAAATATATTTTTCGTTTAGAATTTTCCAGAAAACCCTTCTTGCAACTCATAAAATTACAGCTTTCACTGCGTTTTTTGATTGACTTCAAGGCTGGCCAACTGGAGATCACAATCAGCGAGGTTCTTGGGGGGATTTTACCAAGGTTTTGGCATGTGCCAGTGGTCAAGGTTCGACATGCTAGGCTGTTCACCCGCTTTGCGGTCACTCAGTGGCTCATTTTTACCGCATTCCAATGCGATATCCGCTTCCGGTTCCGCTCTCCCCCGTTTCCTCATCCCATTTTTCTTTTTTCTGCGCTTTTTTTTCAGCGGGTGCGAAGTAATTGGCTGCGAAAATGCTGCCATAAATCAAACCGATAATTATGTGGGCGACTGCGCAACTTTTTCGCACCAAACCATCATCAGAAAAAAAAAACCGAAAAGTAAAATCCAAAAAAAGGAAAGCCAGGCTCATTTTGATTGCCGTCCATAAATTATGATTTGATGTGCGAAATAGTTGGGCGCCAAAAAGGTTGGACTGCCGGTGGTGGGTGGGTGGCTGGGTGGTTGGTCGGTAGGTAAATGCAGCTCAAGGTCGTGGTGTTTTTTTCTTGCGCTTTTTCCTCCATTCTTTTTTTTTTTGCCGTCTCGCTTTGGCGCTTCTTTCTGTGTCTGCTGGGCGGCCTTCGCTGGTCGTCCTTGGGTGGGTGGTGCTCTGGGTGGCTTCCAATTGGAATGCGGATGCGGAGAAAGTGAAACTGGAGCAGGGGGAGGGGAATGGGAACTCCATGCTCCATTTTGTGGCCGTGGCATGATTAATTGCTCATTGTTGCGGCGGCCACATCGTAAATTGCTTTCACGTCTCGTGAATCTCGTGTCGGGCGCACGTGAATGCCATGAATAAGAGCGGAATGAAACGGAATGGAATCGGCCTAAAACGCTGTCAAATGGCTAAGGATACACTGGGAAAAGAAAAGCTATTTGGCCAGGCTCTGTACTAATTTATTTAAAATGTTATTGGAATAATAGGGTTTGATCTATAACCAGATATTATTTTTTTGTGTTATCAAAATATTATTTTAGTTTTATTATTTTGTAAAATATCAAATTAGCTTAAAAACTTCCAAGTAATTGCAAGTATTTATAAAGTGAATTATTCTGTAAAAACTATTAAGTTAAGCTACTTTAAAAGAATTATGTTTATTTTTATACCTGTTACCCGTTTACAGATTTTACAAAAGTGTAAATGCCATTTTTTTGTGTTTGCTAAAAAATTTTAATATCGGATCATTCCTTTAAATATTTATAATTTTGTTGTTTGTAAAAATTGTATTTTTTGTAAGAGCTTCTTTTACAGTCTCCATATTTTTCCCCAGTGTGCTGAGCCCAAATTTCTCAGCTCATCTCATGTCATCCTGGCTAACGTTTAAGGCGTTCCGCATTGTTTATCTTCCTGCCCCGTAGCCTTTCCTTTTTCCTTCGCCCGGCTAATGTTACATTATTAATGCATCTGCATGAAGCTTCCTCAAGCCTTCGTATGTAAATTAGGGCCCAGGCCAGGGCTTTCCCCTTCCCCCTGCTGCTCTCCACTTTTCTCCCGCATTTCCCGGTGCCAAGACGTGCCCCCAAAAAAATACAAAAAAAGGGCCAACAAGATGGGGAAACCAAAGCAAGAGCAATTCGTGTCTGTTACTCTAGAAGTGATAAATGATTGAGGGAATATTCGGATATATCGCAAATCCAGGCTATGGCTGCCAAACTGGATTTGCATCAGCCCAATTTCCGAACGGAATGGCAGCCATTTAGTATGCAATACAAAATGTATTGTTTGCCGTGTCAAATCATCATTTTACAACTACTTCACTCTCCTCACTGACCCCTTTTAGTAATTATTTTTTCGTTTTCACATTATTATATATGATTTTATCTCTCGGCAGACTCGTTAGCAATTCCCCTTTGCCTTTGAGCAGATTAACGAGGATAATCCCCGGACGTGTTCATTTGGCAGCATCATTAGTACTTCAAAAAAAGAATTGTAAAATGTAAATTTAAGTGTTCTCACACTTTTTACCTGTTTTTATTACAATTACTGGCCAACCCCCCAAAAAAGAACTTAAATTGAGCCAAAAATCCTTTATCCTTATAAAAAGGAGTTGCAAGAGTCCTTAACCTTTTAGTTCTGGATAAATATGAATTCTAGATACTTTATTATCATAATAATCAAATCAGAGGCACTTATTCTGAGTACTGGATGATTTGTTTGATCGTATATCATTCCCATTTAATGTTGTTGAAAACTTTCCCCCGATACGAGTACGAGTACGAGTACTATCAAAGTTAATCCCACAAAGTTTGCTCCAAATCGGATTATATGGAAGCCGTAGGACCGGCCGCCCTGCAAGGGTATTCGAGGCTAAACTTTCTTTCTTATAGAGTTCGGCGCCGCTTCAACTGCGGTTGCTTTTGCTCTGGGTATTTCACTTGCTGTTTTTCCAACCTCGCAATAGCAATCACGATAATAAGCATAAATAAAAGGGCCAACAAAAAAATTACACAGCCATAAAAAAGGGCAAATGGCATAAAAGCGAGTGAGAGAACGTGGGGGAACCCCAGCCCCTCCATTACCATTCGTCTTTGCTGGCCAAGTGGAAAGGGCCAAATAACCCGGACCAGACCAAACCCAACCCAAGCAGACCCAGCAAACAAACAAACAAACAAACGTCGAGAATGAGAACACAAACAAGTTTTGTAGTGGGTTGCAACCGCTGAACAACCTCGTAAAAACTTATTTAATTTGTGATTTATATGAATAAAATTGTGTAGTAAATTCCCTGAAATTATTCATTTCGCAGCGCTTACGGGCGGGTGGACAGTTCGAAACAGGACAACCCGGCCAAAAGAAAAAAGGAAGTTACAGAGAAAAAAGTTGGGAATTTTTTGAGATTAATTACAGGATTTTTTGTGGAAAACCAAGGGAACCAATAAAATTTTGAGAGATTTTAAAATCGCGCTGGTATACTTATCATTTTCATCCAAAGTCTTAAAATATTTTTTCAGATCTTTTGTAAAGATTAAAAATAATTTGTTTTATTTTTCTTTTTTTTGTGGTACCTAGAAAAAATATTGTACATTAAATGATTAATTAACAAAAAGGCGAGATATAATGAAAAAGATTTCTTCTAAAATTATAGCAACTTAAATGACCCAATATTTATTGGAAAATTACTCCTAGGTACCATAAAAATCTCCCATTTATATTTCTGTGTGCAATTGGCAAGCTAAGATGGGGTCGAAAGGATAAACTGAGCACAAGACCAAAAACAAGAACGTTGCCAAAATCAACTGCTGAGGAGACGGCGACAACGGCAACATCAAGTGTAGCAGCAACAGCAATAGCAGCAACATCAACATCAACGACAACAGCAACACATAAAATTAAAAGAAAAGTTTTTGCTGGCTAACCAAAGAGTTTCACATTTTTGATTTACTCTCGGGCAGCAGCAGCAGCAGAATCGCAACTTTTGCGCATATAAATTTGGGCCAAGCGATGGTCAGACAACTCTCCTTCCGCTTTCTCCTCCCCCCGAAAAAGTCCCCTTGCCACAAAACAGATCCTAAATTATTTTAGTCCCCCCTCCCCGAAACTTGCGAGTTTTTTTGGGGTGGTTTGGGGGGTTTCGGGATTTCGTTTTGTTCAAATGATTTTCGATTCCCAACTAACCGCAATTTAGTCTGGGAATATCTGAGCTGACCCCAATTGGAGCGGTAAATTGCGGGGGTTTCGTCTCATGAATTAAGCAGTTTGCAGATCTCCGGATGAGAAGTTTCAAAACAGACATTAAAAATAGCTCTTGACATTTATAGCCATCGATTGCCCTGCAACAATTTCGCAATTTATTAGCATTTATGAATTTATTCTCGGCGTGGCAGGTATTATTTACAGAAGTTTGTGGAATAATTTAATATACATTAGGTGGCCGTATTACAAAGTCTATGGCTGCGGGCCTTCTGCAAAGTGCTTGTGCGTGTGCCAAATGATTGTTTTTGGTTTTGTAAAGTAACTTTAGATTTAAATGCCATGGCCCCGAGACACTTGAGCTTACGTAGGCCAAGAGGAAAATATGAAGAGATTGTCGTTAAATTGGGGAAAAATACAAAGGACAAGTAGAAATTGAAATGCAATTAACAGAATGATTTGAAAGTCATTGGGTAAATATTATAATTACTTGGAGTATGTGGTAATTAAAGGTACTTATTGTGTTTTAAAGGTTTTAATGATTTAAAGAAAATATTTCAGTTTGTGTAGATGAACATCCTGTACTTACGGCTCTTGCATCGCAGCGCATTCCTAGGCCGATTACCAGGCAGAGTCCCAGGAAGGACACCAGGCAGCGGGGTCGCAGCATCTTTCGATCTTTTTTTGGAGTTTCGGTTCGAAAAGGATAACCACCTTATTTTTTTATGTCTTGGTCTTTACTTTGCTTTTGTGTATGTTCTCGAATTTTTGGCGCTCACTATAAAAAAAAGGAACAATCAGGTTGACGGTTGTTCATTAACGCATCGGCACGGAGTTGGCGAAAGGATTTTTATATATTTTATTTTGTTGAGGTCCTTTTAACCCCCCCTCGGTCTCTCTCCCCCCTGTTATCCTGGCTACCCCCCACTTTTAATATTTTTGCGCTGTCCACGCAACAATAACAAGGAATAAAACATTTTGCCGGCGCCGCGGCGACTTGTTTACTTTCACTACCACAAGGACTCTCACACGCACACACACACAAACACACCCATGCTCGCAGGATATGACAGAGAGAGGAAGAGAGAGACAGATAGACTCGGGTAAAAGAAAGCCTTTCTAAAGGAGCCCCAAAATCACAACGAACCGAACGCGCGCGCGGCACGAATTGTTCTGGCGCCTCGACGGCGAAACGGGTCCTTTTTAATGTCCTGCCACGGCGAAGGCGGAGGCGAAAGCTCTGCGGCGAATTCGGCTCCCTGCCGAGCGAATACGAGTTGGGGCGAAGCGAATGAAGTTTATAAAATGTACGTGACTGTGGCTCGCTTCGAGCATGAAGTGTGTGCTAAGCTTTGCTTCTAGTAGAACCCCCACCCCTCCTCCCATCCCTTTTTTTTCCCACTCCCAAACTTCCACACCCCTGCCCCTTCTTCCCTTTCGCCTGTGCATTTGGCACAAAATGCTCAAGGACACTTGCCTAAAACTCGCACCAGACCCAAAACCAACTTGTACACCTGGAAAAACCTTCGGGCGTTTCAATAAAACGCAAATCATTTTGTATTTTTGAAATATATTAAGACCATTTTTTTTAAGAATTTTAATTTCGAGCTTAATCAAGATTCTAAATTTATGCCTTTCCTTATAGTTTATCAGAAAACCGGAGAAAATCAGGACTGGCACAAGAATCTGATTTCGTGTCAAAATTAGGCTTACAAGTAAAAAAAGTTACTTGTTTGGGAAGTTGAGATTAAAAGCTAACAATACCCACCCCTTTTCGGAAAATGTTTTTTTTTTAAGAATTTAGCATTGCTTAAAATTATATTTGAAACAATTTTTTTTTTCAATATTTATTTTTAAATTACATTTTTGAAAAATTTTTAAAAATTAGATGCGATTTTATTATCAATTTTGAATACCAAACGATGGCAATTTTAATTATAAGCTCAAGGTATGACATTTCATATTTAAACCATTAAATCTATTGTTTTAAAAAAATACACATTTTTATGAGGCTTTCTGAAATTAAAATTATTGTAAAATATAATTACTACTATTTATATATATATTATTATAAATAATTAGACATTAAAAAGTCTAAATAAATTGGTATAATTATCAACGCAACGTTTTCTTTGTAATCTATTTTTATTACATTTTGAAGGCACACATCTCTCCTCTTTTCTCTCTGTGTACGGGCCCCCCTTCAAGCCCATGTCAACCTCTAAATATGGCGATGGGGGGCAGGACAAGGACTCTCCAGCTTAATGCTTTCATTGTGCAGCATTTCTTTATTTTTAGTTGATTTGTTTGGACATTTTCGGTTAGTTCTCCGCCTAAGTCTGACCTTGCCATCCGCCCACATCCCCTTATATTCGCCCACATCTGGCTACCACCGCCCACTCCCCTTCCCCCACCTGCACTCCAATTAGAATTGTGTGTGTTTTCCGAGGTGGACAATGGCTGCCACTTGAACTTCGCGCGCTCGATTTCACTTCCATAAGTTTCAGTGGCATAATCCCTGGCCAAGCCCATTTCCGTCCCACTTCCCACATCCACATCCACATCCACATCCAGCTCCGTGTGATGTCCCTGTCGATGTCGTTTGTGTAGTTTCCGTAGTTTACGGATTACACTTGTCCGGCCACACCCCGCCAGGACAGGACGGGATACCCTTGCCGGGAAAAGGATATCCATATCCATTTCCCTATACCAAAAGCCCCTCATCGATGGCCATGCAAATCGGGGCAGGGCATCCCGCATTCGTGTTGGCTTCACCTCATCCATGGACACTACACATTTATTTGCTCAGCCCGATGTCCTGTGTCCTATGTCCTGCGTCCTTGCTGCTCCTCTCCTGCTGTTGCGGTCCCGCCGTAGATGTTGTGTTGTATTCGGATCCAAGGTTCTTAAGCCGCCCTAATACCTTTCCTAATGGTTCCGATGCTCTCCATTAGCGCTACTGGACGCCACTTAATGCCACACGTAGTCCGAATGGAAATGCGACCTGCTCGACGGGATTAGAGTGGGGTAGTCCTTGGGTAGTCCTGCCCACGAAGGATGTCCATCCCCCCCCCCCCACGCGGGGGTTCCTTGTTCTGCCTGGCTCCCCGGGTTGATTGGTTAATCAATGCAAAACATCGCATTCTTCGGACGTCATCAACACAATGGACCCGTTAAGCATCACACAATGCGATATGTGACCATTATGTGTGGGCACAAAGAAGTATTGCGACTCGAGGATATGAAACTAATCGCAGATACGCTCAGGAAAAAATTACAGTAGTTTGGAGTAAGGATCTCTTTTTACTACTTATTCTTAAGACAATCGTTAGTATTTGTTGTTTAAGATATTCGGGGAATTTAAAAATGTCTTCCCATTAAAACACAATTTCATTTAGTTTTTCTATAAAACACTTATTGTTAAAATTCAATTCCGGCATTGTTTAATTTCATAATTATGAAAAAAAATTCAGGTATTTGAGTACCAGCTATTTCTTAAGGCTTAATTATAATTTTATTCTACTAATTATTCTAATTGTTGTACTAATATTTTGTTGTTATTTTGTAAGGTTTTATAGTAGCTTCATAATTCTACAATTAAATGAATAATATTTTCAAAATTTATTGTTCTTATTTTGTAGGGTTTACTAAATTCATTTATAATTTCATCATTCTACAACTAAATTAATTAAATTTTTTAAAATATTTTTTTGTTTAGGACTGACAAAGAAAAATATAAAATATTATTATTTCTTGATTTTCGATTAACTGATTATAATTATTCATTTCAAATTCTTGGCATGACGATTTAATACATAAATACACAAAATATTGTTCCTACGTCGCCATTACTTTTAAAAATAAATCCAGTTAGTTAGACAAAAGTCAAGAGAGTTTCAAAAGGCCCTAAAAATCGCTTTACAATCCACAAAATCCCGACCTATCTCAACAGTCAAGCGATCCACAATTGGGAGCTTGGCATCCACATCCACATACACATCCATTCGATCCACACACCATATGTTCAAGAAAGCGTTCAGTCGACGATCAGTTGAGTGTAGAGTCTCCACGTGCTTGGAATCGTAATCGCAAACAATAAACATACGTACATACACAAGTGAGGAATGGAAAAACTGGAACCGTGCGATATTGAGGTGCGCCAGGTGTCCGCTGGCGAAGCAGCGGATATGATGACCTTCCTGCTGGCCCACTACTATCCCGAGGAACCCACCACGGCGGGCACAAGTCCGCCGGAACCGGAGGCAGCCGACAAGGAGTTCCTGCTGTCCAACGTTCCCTTCGGCACCTGCTTCATGGCGATCGCAGAGGGCAGGATCGTGGCCGCCGTGGTGGCTGGGCCCAAGGACGCCCACGAACCGGAGCACATGGTCGAGGAGGCCCAGAAGCATGCCGGCGGCAAGTGGGGACGCATTCTCCACTTGCTCTCCGCCGTGGAATCCGCCACGGATGTGTGCCGGCGCTTCAATGTGCCCACCAGCGTCCATGTCCACGCCTTGGGTGTTGATCGCCAGCAGCGCGGTCGCAACCTGGGCGCCCGCCTCATGACCGCCGTTGCCCAGCGGGCCAGGGACTTGGGCCACCGGCTCGTCTCCGTCGACTGCACCAGCGTCTACTCCGCCCGGTTGGTCCGGCGACTGGGCTATCAGCTGGTCAACACCCTGCGCTACGTGGATCACTTGGACGAAAGTGGACAACAGGTTATTCATCCACCGCCTCCACACGAATGTGTCCAGACCTTCGTGCTGCAACTCTAGAAAAAAAATCCCCAGTTGCCGGGGAACCTTATCACCTTATCATCATAAATTCTTATCGTAGATAAACAAACATGTGACAAGCGAAAGCCATGTAAAATGTTGTAACTTTTGGCTCTTAATACTAGTATTTATGTATCAATTTTTATTCATACATATATAGACTTTTATAACTTAATAACTTTAATAACTGTCATTAGTGTATTTATTTTACTGCCCACCGCATTTAATAAAGTAAAATTTGTAATTATTTTAAAGTAAATTTTATTTATAATACCTTTTTTGTTTTACAGGTCTAGATTTACATATAATATAAAAGTTAAAAGTTGATTAATTTAAATAAATTTGGTAGGATTACACTTAAATTCCCCATTTTCCTTAGTGCATTAATCCACATATTGCCTGCGCCTCAAGTGTCTTGAGACTAATTAGTGATGTTAACTGAAAATTCAATTGTTGTTATGCGCCACTTGTGCGGTGCTTACGCTGGAATTAGGTGGGTGAGCATGTGGATGGTTGCCATGACAACTTTTGGGCTTCGAGACCCCGACTACTCCGCCTGCCAGGTGCCGAGAACTGAGAACTGAGAAAGGAGAACTGAGTTCTCAGCTGTGGATTAGGGCAAATAAATCGCTAATTAATAATCCCTAATGAGGAGCCGCAATCTTCAAGTACCTTGGTAAATTAAGCTGCATAGTTGCTTGATTGCTCTGTGATTTATTTGTTAATGTAATTGAATTTGACAACTGTGTGCAAAATACTTCAGCCGCTGAATATTCAAGATATTAAATCAAAAATCATGCATTTTGCGTTGAACATATCCATAATTGTATATTAAACAAGTAATCCATAGTTTAACTCTTAAAACTAGTTGTATTAAAAATGCACTAGATCCAATTTAAAAATAATTAAATGAAAAATGAACTCTTTTGTATAAATTTTATAATAAATATTATGAAGTTTAAAATTTGTATTTAAAGTTCTATAAAAAATGTTATCTTAACACTTCCAAAAGTAAAAATCTAAAACTTATCTTATTAAGATATTTTTTAAATATTATTAAATATTTAGAATAAATGTAGAATAGTTTAGATTTTATGACTATTTTTTATTTAGGTGTAGTTAAAATTAATATTTAAAAAAGGCTTTTCATATCGTTATAAAATCGATTTTAATTAAAAAAAACAAATAGTAAATATTAAAATATAAAATAGTATCGTTTAGTTCATCATTTCACATATTTTTTGTATAGTCCAGAAAAATTATATCACAGAAAAAAGAAATAGTTAGGATGTCGAAAAGGTTTCGCTTTCATCTGAAGCTTGGGACAATTTGCCAGTCGCTGCTCTTGGATTCTTGGATATTATGTAATAAGTGTCGGTCCTTGGCGCGTGACTGACTGCCCCATGCCCAATGCCGAAAATGTTCGGAGTGGCTGGGCTTCGATCCCTGCGATTCCGTGCGGGGCACGTGCAGGACCAAAATCTCTATCTGCAACTGTATCCAGCCAGCCCATTGGACGAATAATAACCCCAACCCTATGGGCCTATTTGGCCGACCCCAGTTGCAACCGCAAAGAGGGAGTGATGGGTGTTTGGGTGATGCTGGCTGGTTTAGGTAACCGACAATTATTCATTGCGCATACGACGCGTTGGACGCGCTAATTAGACACTGCAGCTGCTGCAGCTGTCGATAATGAAGCTGCCGCTTGCTGCCTTCTGCTGTTGCAACTTATTGTACATACATATATGTATGATTATGCCGCTGCCACGCCCACTGGGCACGTCCACCGCCCACCAGAAAGAAAGCAGGGGGCGTGGCTTGCCCGGCCAGCCAGCCTGTTTAAGCTGTGAAGCACGTCCCTTTTGAGCCGGGGCCATGTGACGTGGCATGCATTCCACCATGCCACTCCCCCTTTTTCCTCCCCCGGCGACGATGCTAAATGGCCGCCTGCAAACTTTGCTGCCGGCCAAAAGCAAACTGGCCAAGGAACCAGTAACAAGTAACAAAAGTGCGGCAGCACAAGTTTCTCTTTTTTTTTCATTTGCCCAAAAAAAAAAATAACCAGTAGAAAAAAGAAAAAAGGACATGAAGAAGTTTCTCTGGCAAAGAATCAGCAGCCTGATTGCGGCAGCAGATCAAAGGAACGGGCAGCGTAATGGGATTCGGGGCTCTGGATGACATCAGCTCAAAACTGGAGCACACTGGCTGCCCGCCATCGAATCGACAACTTTTCGGGCCCCACTAGAGGCACTTGAATGCCAGACAAAAACATCGGAAATTTTCTTTAAAAAACAAACATATATTTTTTAACGATAAATTAAATTAACTTTATCAAGAAAATAATATATTGTTTTAATATAAAATAAAATTCCACATCCATCTGTCTTTATTTTAAACATAATTTCATTATAATTTCTCAAGATTTGTTTAGTGCCAGAAAAAACATCAGACACTTTTCATAAAAAAACAAAAAAGGAATTTTTCAAAATCCATATTATAAAGGGTACATAAAATCGTTCTAACTTTAAATAAAATTTCACATTTATTAAATATTATTTATATTTTATTTATGACATTTAATTTTCATATTTTATTATGTTCTTATTAAGTTATAGGACCACAGGTCATATGAGTAATTAAGGCATCGTTAGTAGTGCAACATTGCGTATGAGTAATAAGCGTTTACATTGAGTTGTTTTAATTGATAATTTAATTGATAATTTAATTGATTGATAATTGATTTATATTTATAAAATTGCAGAACAAATAAATAAATAAAAAAAATTTTTGTTTGTAAAAAAAAATTATTTTTTCTATTTACACTTGAATATTATGTATGCAATTTGAAATAACTTATTTCTGGTTCTTGATCGGGATCTCTCTTGCCTTCTGCTGTTGGGCCATGCTACTTACTACCGGGATTCGAACCCGGACCGGCGGCAATGTACAAGTTGTAAACTGAAAACTCGATACTCAGCTCACTACACTGCCGCCGGTGGCGTTGTGACAGCATCCTAGGGTTAAACTTGAACCTCACCTACTTGGATTTGTTGAAATTTGAATAGGGTTACTACTTTGAACCCTAAGTAATCCAATAGTTGGCCGGGCCGAACTCGACTCAGTAGATCAGCAGCTAAGGCATTTGTTCCATAACCTTTGGAATGTGGGTTCGATTCCAGGTTGGAAATTTCTTTTTTCTTTTTGTTTAACTATATTTAATGCACTTGTTGATAAAATTAATTTCCCCTATAAGGGCTATCTAGTAAAAAATAAGAAAATAAAATCAATATAAATTATTAAGGCATTTATAAATAATTATTTTATATTCCTTTTTTCAATTTTATTAAGTCCTTTTTTAGTGGTATTTGCAAAAAAAGGATTCTTAAAAAAGTAAAAAGAACTGGATGGTATGAATACGAAATGTTTTTATATCCGATATTTGTTGAACTATATGTGCTCATCTGCACGGGTGTTGTATAAATAAGAAATGTTCACGCATCCTTTGGGTTGATTGTTGCTCGTGTTGATGTTGCTGCTGTTGATGTTGCTGCTGCTGCTGCTGCTGTTGTCGCCGTTTTCGTTTTTATTGCCCGGCTGTCAATATCCGTGTCCGCATCCGCATCCGCTGGCACATTTCCCATTTCCCAGCGCGGGACATTCGTCTGTGTTTGGGCTTCCGATTCGCAGGCACTTTGCACACTGACCTTTGGCTCCCACGTGGCCCATCAGCCAGGTCCTGCTGCTCCTGCGGCTCCTGTGTTGCATGATCCGACCTTAAGGATGCCAGTGCGTGTGTGTGTGTGTGTGTGGCCATAAACAACAGGATATGAAATGACTGCCTCGAATGACCCGGGGGACAGGGATCGGGATCTGTGACCTCCAACAGCGATATCCTTGCTGTTCCTGCTACTGTTCCTGTTCCCGTTCCCCTTCCCGTTGCCCTTGGCTACGCACGATTTAAATTAAATTGCACTTGACGCATTTTCCGGCTGGCAGGAGGAGCAGGCTCAGAGACACTGGCCTCTGACATGGAGCTCCCCCCCATCCTCCTTTTGTGATTCAATTAGTGCACCTAGGTCGCCTCTGGAGCAGGAGGAGCACTGCTTCCTGGCCATCTGCAGGCCAAGTGGCCGTAAATAAATAATAAATGTAATCCCAGGCTCGAAGGACCATGCAGCAAAAAAGGATTGCGCCGACTGAGGTCATTGAACCAGCAGAGATCACAGGCCAAAGTGGATGGATGGATGGATGGAGGGATGAACGGATGAACGGATGAACGGATGAATGCTGGATTGATGGATAGCAAAACCCACTGTTGGGTAAATAAATGGGTGAATAGATGGCAGGAAAAACAGGGGAATAAGTTCATAAGAAGGGGAAAAAATTTGCAAGAATATCATATGTTAGAAAGCATTAGCTAAAATATAATATAAACATATCAATATATATATTAAACTTAGTAAAAAGACCAAACATATTATTTTTACCTTGGGATCTTTTCCAAATAGCAAAATACTTTTCTTTTTCCTCAGAAAATAATTGTGTAAAGCACACCGGTCATCGTCTAACTCAATTTGCGTTTAGCCAATTCCATGATGAAATAGTTCCATCAAGTAAACGAGATTATCCTCGAATACTCTGTAAGCGGGATGCTCTCGGAGATTCAGGACCACATGGAATCCGCAATAACCGGGCTTTGCAGCGGCAAAAGAAAGTCAAGTAAGGGAAGGGGCAAGGAAAGCAAGCTGGGAGTGCACACAGAAATCTAATTTAAAATCTGCACACATGTGGAGCCTGGGGGCGGAAAGTGGGTGGTGGTGGGTGGGTTGCCAGGGGGTCAAAGGTTCAGCGACAGACAACAGATGGGCGTTGTGGAGCACCTGTGCATAGTTGGCGAAAGCCAAAGGTAACCGAAGCAAACAGTCGACAAAACAAAATCAAAGTCACCTTTTGCCACCACACCGAAGGATGTGTGGAGTGGACTTGCGATTTAATCTTATAATGATACTGGTCTCCAGCCGAGTTCCAGAGTTCCTGAGTTCCAGTTCCCGTATCCCGTATCTCGAATTCCTGGCCTTATTTACACTTCCCCGCAGTTCATCGCCCGATGGTGAGGTTAGATCCCAGTTAAGTTGGATCCCGTTTGCCGGCAGACAAACACCTGGCCTTCGAATCCTTTCACTGCATTCCACCCCGCCCCGAAGGACCAGGCCCAGATATTTGCCGGAATGACGGGGATTCCCACGCTCAACCATTGGGAATGGCAAGGGATTCGAACAATTTTCGAGCTAAAAGCTGGGCCACGCACCATTGGTAGTCCTTGCGGCAGGACGAGCTCCATTTCGAGTCCAGCTACACTTAAAAATTTTAATTATGTATTTATTCGAAGATGATAAAAACATTTTTCTACATCTTTACAGATTTTATAATACTGTTAATGCCATTTAAAGTAATTCTTTAAAACCTATCGAAATGTAAAAAAATTTTTAAATAGTTAACAGTTAATTAAAATTAAACAGTTAATTTAAATAAAAATCCCTTTCAAATTGCCTAATTTTTTCCAGTGTGCTCGTAGGCATTTCCTAACCAACCTGCCCACCTACATTCTATTCCCCCCGGGGAAAAATGGTTGATGTTCCTGGCAGCAAACCCGCAGGACCAACAGCATGATGAAAGAATGCCACAGGAATCCCTGCGTTTTGCAAATGCATTTTTACATTTATGTGTAGAGTCAAGTGGCTTGTTAACGGTTAATTTGCTAGAATTCAAATGGAAATGGGAAATACGGGGTTACAGTGATTTTTTCTGGGATCCACCGGGCAGGTCCTCCTCCTCCTCCTCCTTGCTGGGATTACCACCCTGGACGCCACTGGTGCCCGGCTGCTGATCCTGATCCGCCACCACCGAGAATTGCGAGGGAAACGAACCCACGCCGTAGGTTCGCTCATCGGTGACCAGTAGACTCAGCACCGACGTGGAGGTCACCATTGTGGTGTTGGGTCTTATGCCGTATTTTCCCAACCTCTCGCCCTTCTCGCTGGCAATCGTGTCCGTCCTCAGGTACTCCGCCCCTTTTCTGGTGATCACGCAGAGATCGATATTCGAGCCGGAGCCCAGATCGTTGAACACCCCCGCCGAGATGGCCTCGCGGACCAGCTGCTTGCCCTGCTCCCGGTCCAAGTCGGGTCGCCAGCCGTGCTCCAGCACGGACATCGCCGCCAGGGTACCCGAGCCCATGGCCGCATAGGGTATCTTGTCGTTGGATCCGCACGGATAGATGCAGTAGATCTGCGGACCCGTCCTGTCCACGCCGCCCATCACCAGGGCGGCCCCGATGTGTCCCTGGTAGCGGAAGAGGGTCCGGCGGAGCAGCATGCTGGCACAGACCACCGGCACCTGCCGCCCGGTGTTCAGCTGGTGCATATCAAGCTCCGAGGAGGTCATCAGGGTCATCATTTCAGTGTCGGCAGCGGTTCCGGCTCCACAGCAACTGAAAGGATGAGTTAATTTATTGTATGGTAAATATTTAGGGATTTCTCTAGAGCTAAAGTTGAAGTGTAAATGGGATTTTGTTTTGATTTTTAATATCTATCGATTTGCTAAAATTTATTCAAATCGCATCATTCATTTAAAAGTTATGATCAAATAATTGTGCGCGTGCAAGCAGTGCAAGCAGTCGCTTTGCTGCTAGCATACTTCTATCTCCCTCGCACTCCTTCTGATAGTCGAGGTACTTTTTGATTACCAAGAAATTCTTAAAAAATACAAAGCCAACGAGTATTATCTTGCAAACAATGCTAGGCTCTAAAGTAGCACATACAACTTACTAAATGTGATTCTGGAGGTGGTGAATTTTCGAGCAGTTCTTGTCGGAAACAATGGGTCCTTCGGTGGCGCGAGTGTCGGCGCCCAGGATAACGCCATCCTTATAGATAATCCCCACAATGGAGGTGCCCGTGCGAATCGCTTTCGGTGGCTCATAGCCCTGGGCCAATAGCTCAGCATTTCTGGGGGGAAAATGAATTCACCTAAGTTTATAAATAAATCCAAAAATAATAGCTCACCGCCTGCAATTGACAAAATTGAATCCGCAGCGCATTCCAGAAATATCCACGGACTTTTCCTGAGCCGCTTTTGGAGCGGAAAACGGGAAAAGCATGGTGTGTAAAATGTACAATGAAAAATCACCAAGTTTTATTATTCCGAATATTATGTGGAAAATTGTGTTGTCGTTTAACTAGACAGGAATATCTACGAAAAAATTGAGAAACTGCTGAGGTGTGCATTTCATTATATTATATTTCAGTATATTATAATTAAGTTCCCAACTGCGAAAAAATATAAATGAATTTGAAAATTAATAATTTTTATTGTGGTTTATATAAAATTTGCAAAGCGAAGTTCTTTTGAGCGAAAAGATATTGAAAATGTGCAGTCAGGTGGAAAACTATCTTAAAAAAGGGGGAGAAGCCAACGGTGTAGTCGAAACCATTGCCATTTCCACCCATTTCCACCCATTTTCCGACTGCATTTCGAATGCCAAACAATTTGACAGAGCTTAATTGGTTGCCCAGCCCACAAATTTGCATGTATGTGGGTGTGTAGGTGTGTGGGTGTGCCTGCGTGTGCGGTCCAAAGTTTGTCCTTTTGACATGATGGGCGTGTATGTGTTGATAACTGCAACTGTTTGTCCTCCTGCACGCACGCATATAAACTGCGTGTGTATGTGTGAGGTCCTGCCTCATGTATTTGCACTCGTATGGGTTCTGCATAATCCACAATCCAAGGACATGGATACTTAAGCCCCGGGAATGGGTTACAATCCCTGTTCGGTTCAGTTCGGTTCGGTCAGCTTCAGCTTCAGATCCCTGACACCGGCACATGTCGCACAAATCAATTAGCATTAATTAGAATCCAATTATATTTTAATCAACATTTGGCCAGCAAACTGCAGCGAGTGCGATGCTCACTTCAAGCTGTGATTTCACTTGATTTCAGTCGCAACTGGAAACTGGCAACCGGCGAGTCATGCAACCAACTTGGGTAACTCAATTGCATGGGCGGACCGAAGGGCGTTCCACGCGGAGAAATAATAGAAATAAGTATAATTTTGCAAGATTTTTGTCAAGAATTCAAAGTACAATTCGATTGGAATAATTCACATTTTAATGATATAACTATCTGACATTACCAATTACATTTATATTGGGAGAAAAATCTATTCAGTTCTTAACACCGAAACTAAAAATGAATACATAGACTACAAGTAATTTCCAATACGTTGAATTTCTAAAAACTTTTAGTAATAAGTATTTATTGAATTTGACATGTTATTGAATTCATTTTATCATTTTATTCCTAGCAATTAATTTCGATTCATTCTGTATGTTTGTAATTGCAGAATTTGTGGCTCATAAGGATTTAGGCCTTATCATCATTTCAACGAAGGTTAGCGATATCGTATAGTTGTAGTCATGCCATGAGCCCCAAGTGATTCCGTCTTTTGAACTATCATGACCATCTCCATTGTATTTTCCATTAAGCGAACTGTTATTTTAAATAGTTAATGAATTTTAATGTTAAGTTGATTTTAATTTAATATTCATACCTTTTTGCACAAAGATGATACCACCAACCACCACGGTTCTTGGCGCAATTTCCTGCATGCTCATCATTATCCCGATCAAGTGTGGTAAACTTTTTGTTAAGGTGATAGTTAAGGGAATCTCCGGCTTCTCCAGAAAATCTTCCCAGTTTCTTCAGCTCATACAATTCATCTTCGCTTCCAATTTGAAAATCATCGTAATGAGCGTAGCTGGTTGATCCCTCCACCTTTCCAAGCTTAATGTGGAGTTCGTGGGGTCGTGTGGCTGTCATTCGATGTACTTTTTCCAGTCCAAGGAAAAACTCTCCACTGACATTTCCAAAACCGTTTTTATAATCGCTCCAGTTTCGATCGAAATTCTCTGATCCGTCAAAACGTCTCTGAATTACCGTCCAACCAGAGGGAGAGGACACACAAGGCGCCCTAAATGACTCCATTCCCCGAAGTTTTAGTTCGTAAATCCCATTGGGACTGCCACTGGGACATGAGTCAGGCAAATTAGCCTCAGCTTCACGGTCTTTCGAAAGCTGATTAGATCTTTCCGATAGTGATGTCTCAAGCGATTTAATGTGATTCCGTAGGTCCGCGATTTGATCATCTTTGTGTTGAAGGTTTTCAAGATGACCCCTGATTTGAACTTCAGTAACTTTTAACTGATTTTGCAGGTCCTTAATTGTATCTCTCATAGTATTCACTTCAATTTTCAGTTCATCGCTTGCATTGGCTGCCGTTTTCAGCTCTACGAAATGATCAAGAATGGGCTTAAAGACCATGAAACAATAATCGTTGCATTCGGTTTTAGCGTTCTGTAGAATTGGTTCCTCCGGCAATTCTTTGTTTGAGCTTTCACCAAAAACAGGACATTCCTTCTGAATTAAAAGGATTATAACAATCACTAAAAGCACCGATTTCATTGCGAACGATAGCAGCGTCAACTCGAAACTAAACTGTATGCATGCAAATAAATTTATATTTCACTTAGTTATATATTTTACATATACATAATTCAAGATTACGAACTTGAGATAGCAGGCGGAATCGGCGAAATCGACTGACAATGTTGCTATTTCTAAAACTAATTATCATTATTTCTGGTGCAAATTAATACATATTAAAAACAATTTATTGATTACGGACAACAGTACGTATGAGGGATATACATTGAATATATATACATTCAATAAAATGATGTAGGTACCTATTTAAATTTCTATAAATCATAAAATTATTCCGCACACTGTGAGATTTTCTCGCACTGCATTTTGCAGCCTCGAAAAACTTTTGCTGAGCAATTTAGGGCCAGAAAACTTTTGCAACAAATGCAAATGCAGCTGGAACAATTTTCTATTTTTTCGGCGCTTAACGTACCGCTGCCTTTCGGAATATTTTGGTCTGGGATTTTGGCATTCGGACAGCAGACAGCAGCCAGCAGTTGGCTTTTCAATTAGGCGGCTCCACAAACACCTGGCGAGGAAAATTCAGCGACATTCGACAACCGAGTGCAGGCCTAAAAATGGGAAACTAATCAAAAGTTGGCAATCAATTTTGATTTCTGTTTTGTTAACAGCAATTGGAAAAGTTTGACGCCCTCTTTTGCCCCAAAAAAGAAGAAGGGAGAGAGAGAAAAAAACACAAAATCGAACAGGTTGTTTTACCCGCCATTGGAATCCCTTTTTTTTGGGGTTTCCCTTTTTTTGTGGCTGTAACTTTTCCCCAGCATAATTACGGGGGGCTCGACAAAGGGTGCGTCCTTAGCTGATTGGGAGATTAAAATTTAATAAGATTATAAAGTCATTTCGGGCTTGTCGTTGGATGTTTATTCGGGTTTGTCTCTCGAACTTTTTGGTGTGCAGGGTGCTCGTCGTAAATAACGGCATAAATAATTGAGATTATCGCTGGTAAACTTGATGTCGTCTGGCCATTGATTGATTATCACCGAAGGCTGTTCCGCAGGATCTCAAAACCCCAAAGGGGGAAATTTATGCCTTATATTAAATGTGCTGATATGATGTACACACAAAAAAAATCACGTCGGGATCAAATCGATAAGCGCCTTGTAAGTTTCTGGTATTTATACGCATATCGTTTTTACCATGCAATACTGGTAAAATGGATATTAAATAATATTTTCTTTCTCTGAGATTCTTTGACTTCGAAAAAGAGAGAAAAAAATGCAAAAAGGTCGAAATTCTAACTGGCCTGTTGTATAAGTTTCGAGCATATCAAATTGATCATAGCTTCATATCAAGTTTGTTTGGGTGTATTAAAATAACTTATTTTGCTTTCTGGCTCACTTTTTAATTATAAATAGTAAATAAACAGCAATATCATATTTTTCATTATTTTATCCTAAGCTCTTCAATCGATTTATCCACAAAATATATGAGTAAGCTGACTGAAATCATTTCGTGTTGGCCTTTTCCGCTTGAAATACTTCCTTGCATTTAATGAAAACTTCAATTTTGCTCTCCAAAGTCAAAGTGCGGCTTATTTTTGGGATTTGGAATTTTTTCCTAACCCGCTGCCATATTTCCCAAGCTGATGACTTTCAGTTGGAGCAGAGAGAGCATACACACACACACACACACGCCCATTCCAATTCCAATTCCAAAAACGGCGCCATGATGGGTCCTTTGATGTTGCGCCTTGCCCGTCCATTTCCCATTTCCTGGCTATTCCCAGTCGGATGGCCACTGCATCCTTGTGGACCAGTGCATTCGCTATTAACACACATCCATCCATATCCATATCCCACATCCATCCACATCCAACATCCGCCGTGTCCACTGCCAAAGGACAAACGGCCTTTTGAGCCATTGTCGTTCAACGTTCAACGGGGCGCTGAATTCAGTTGGCACATTTATGCGGCAGTTGAGCGTCAAAGCGCGACCAGGATAATGGACACATCAAACCGGAGGTAAAATCTCAATGCACGGAAAAAATTTGGTTAAAGCGAGCTTAAATGGAAAAATGATTAAAAAAAAAAACAAATAAAACTATTTATTTTATTTATGAAAAATGAAAATCAAAGGTGCAGTCACAAAAATAAAAAATATGTATTCATTTATTATCAGGTTTATAGGGTCTTTTAGTTCACTTGTTTTAGGTATATTTAAGATTTTTTTACTTTTAAAGTAATGTACCATTAAATAAAAAATTTTATATATTCAAAGTTTAAATCAGTCATATAAATATTTATTAATTTATTTTAAGGTTTTTAAGGTTTATAGGGGCTTTTATACGTGCACATATTTTTTTGTAATTTTCCTACTACTGAGGTAGTAATTTACGATTTCTTATTTTGTTCTATGTAAGTGCCTGCAATTTATTAGAGTTAATTTAGGCGAAAATCTCCGGACGACTCAATGGTCTGGAAGCGCGATTTAAGCCATAGCCAAACCAAAAACAAAAAAAAACACTAGCAAGCCAAGAGCTGAAGATGAAGCTGCAACCGCATAATTCAATTAGTTATAGTCGTGCTTATTCTGCCCGGTTTCGGTTTTCCTTTGCCCCATAACCCGTGGAATGTGCAACATGTGTGGCACCAGCAGTCTGTTGCAGCAATTAAACGGGAATTTCATTTCGGCGACGGCAAGTTGCCGCAGCAACAGTGGCAGGAGCAACACCAATAGTAGCAACACCCACGGCAGCAGCAGCAGCAGCAGCAACAGCAATTGCAGCAACATAAGCTTCCGAGGCCATGTGCAACATGAAAGTCGAAAGGAAAATGGAAAATGCCAGGTCTCGCCAATCAATCGACTGTATTTTACCCACCATTTGGTTTTCATTTGAATTTACCCCATACAATTAACCCACTATTTTATTACAAACAAGGGAAAACCTTATTTATTTAAAGCATGTCAAGCTTTTTAAATAAATTGAATATTTAATTTGAATATATTCAAATATATATAGAAAACAATAATTTTAATATCTTAAAAAATTAGCAAATACTTTTTTATTAAAATATATACTTAGACTGTCCAAAAAATGGTTAACAATTTTAGTTAAAAGAAAATAGTATCAAAAGATTTTGATGTGATGTGGTTATTCTAATTACTTTTAAAATATGTTTTTAAATAATTGAAAATATTCTTTTTATTTTGTAAACATTTAAGATATATAATTGATATGACAAACTTTTTGTTACTTTGAGATTTCGATTATTATCATAATTTTTTCATTAAAGGCATTTAAATAGACCAAAACAATAGATTTCCCAAACCCATTAAACATAGCACTTCCTTATGTTCGATTCCAATAGCCTGCTGTTTGGGGCCATTAGAAATGTAGTTAACCCATTAATGTTCACCGTACCCTGTTGGGCCTGAATTTTGTGCCCTTGCCCAAGCAACTTTGCAACTTGTTAACCCAGCAGGCAGTCTTCGTGTGTGCAACTTAAATATGTACTCGGTAAATGCATAACGGGACAGAACAATAAGCAAATCGTTAAGATTCGCAAACTTTTTACAGTACAATGGCAGTCAGTTGGCCAACAAAACACTCAAAAATCCAGTGCTGGAAAAATGCTCTAAAGCTTTCACCACTTAGAGAGCGTAACAAATCAATTCCTACCCTTAATAATTATTTGTAGATTTTATTTTAATTATTTTGCAATTTTTCTAGACCCTCTAAAAACATACACAAATCATTTTTGGAAAGATATATTTTTTTAATTTTATTATTTTATTTTAAAACTGTACTTAAGCAATGAATATTGTCTGCCAATTGAAATCGATTGATCCAAAATATTCATAGGACTTTTAATACTACTGAACAAGCTATTCCTTTATTTTTTCTTTCTCCCCTACTTTCTCTGCACTTTCTTTCTGCCGGGGAAAGTTTACCCATCCTTGAGGTGCACATACATATATAGACGTAGGTGCGAACTGCACGTCGTTTGCATCTGTGCGCGTGTGTTGTTAGCACAATTACACCCACTACCGAGGGCCCCACCTCCTCGATATATCCCACATATGGGAGGTTATGACTTAATAAATACTCCCCAGTGTGCGCAATGTGGCTGGCAATTTAATAACAAAGGCAAACGGCATTGGAATAAAAAGTAAACTATGCTCCGTATACATATGTATGAATACTTACTCATATAAAGAGTGCCTTTGATTTACTCAACGAGTACAGCAAATGGTGCCCAGAGTTCGGATTCTGGCGGATCGAGAGCTCAGGGAATGTCAGGAGGTGATAAAAGTACGTGCGAAACTGGCTATATCAAAATAAATATTTTGATTTTTAAGTGTGATTTAATAATTATAATAATTACAATTGGAATTGCACATACAACTCTATAAATTTAATTTTTTTGGAACCGAAATGAAACTAGAAATGGAAATAGAATTTCGATAACATAAAATTGTAATATTTTAACTAATAAAACGCATATTCTTGGTATTTTCCTCTGTGTGTCTTTCGATAAATATTTAGGCTCATTAGGTTTTTGGCCATATCATCATTTCAACGAAGGTTAGCGAGATCGTATAGTTGTAGCCATGCCATGTGCCCCAATTTATTCCGTCTTCTGATGACCATCTATTATGACCATCTATATGGTATTTTCCATTGAGCGAGCTGTAATTTTAAATAGTTAATGTATTTTAATGTTGAGTTGATTTTAATTTAATATGCATACCTTTGACCACAATCATAATACCACCAACCACCGCCACCATTGGTGGCGCAATTTTCTTCATACTCATCATTATCCCGATCAAATGTGGTAAACTTTTGGTTAAGGTGATATTTAAGGGAATCTCCGGCTTCCCCAGAAAACGTTCCCAGCTTCTTCAGCTCATACAATTCATCTTCGCTTCCAATTTGAAAATCATCGTAATGAGCGTAGCTGGTGGACCCATCGACCTTCCCAAGCTTAATGTGGAGTTCGTGGGGTCGTGATGCTGTCATTCGATGTACTTTTTCCAGTCCAAGGAAAAACTCTCCACTGACATTTCCAAAACCGTTTTTATAATCGCTCCAGTTTCGATCGAAGTTCACTGATCCGTCAACACGTCTCTGAATTACCATCATATCAGAAGCATAGAACCTACAAGGCGCCTTAAATGGCTCCATTCCCCGAAGTTTTAGTTCGTAAATCCTATTGGAAATGGCACTGGGACATGAGTCAGGCAAATTGGCCTCAGTTTCACGGCATTGCGAAAGCTGATTAGATCTTTCCGATATTGATGTCTCAAGCGATTTAATGTGACTCCGTAGATCCGAGATTTGCTCATTTTTATTATTAAGGTGTTCTCTCTGAGTTTTGATTAGTTCGTCTTTTACAATTAGTAGCTCTGTTTTTATTGCCAACAGACTTCTCAAGTCCCTTACAGTATGTTCCATGTAACTAGCTTCACCATTTAAATTTACAAAATAATCATTTTGATGATGATTATCAGGTTCAGAGCTCGATGTAAGTAGATCCTGCGGCAAATCTTTAATTGAGTTCGCACCAGCTAAAGGATGTTCTTTCAGAAGGAAAAGCAAGAGAACAATAACTAAGGCCCGCGATTTCATTGCGAACGAAAGCAGCGACAATTCAAGACTAACCTGATTTAAACTAAACTAAAGGCGAGGTTAGAAATTTATATATTACCTACGTAAGTATATAATATTTCAACAGAGATAAGTAGTTCACTTTAGATTGCATATACATATGTAGGTAAAAAAGGCACTACCAATGGTGTTGTTTTCCAAACGAATCAGCATTTCTGATTTTCCGAATATAATATTTAAGGTGCTTTTACTCAGTCTGATTTCTTATATGAGATTTTACTTTTTTAAGTTTCGAGAGCAGCCAAAAACCAAGTTTTGTAAAATTATTATACACCTTATCGATACTAGTACAGTTGTACCTATATTTTTATTTGATAAGCCCATTATTATTTGTTGTTTTTAATCATTTGTGTGTGCTAACGCATTTTAAAAGAAATACACTAGTCGGCATAATTATTTTGACAAATTTTAAAGTTAAATCTTCTCATATTTTGAACTTATAATAGAAACATTTTGGCACCTATAAAAAGAGCACTTCAATTCCATTTAAATGACACAACAATGTTCCTAACCCATTAAGCACACTTTGAAAAGTTAGAAAATTAGAAAATTTATTGTGAAGGTCAAATTTTCAACTTTTTTCCTAGGGCTTAAAACAAAAATGTTTTGATGCAAAGTTTTTCCCCAATCAAAATTATTAAAAACAGCCAAAAAAAAATCAAAAAAACTTTTCCTTGTATTTTTTATGATAGGCTACCTGTTACATACTTTTCCCCAAATACAATATACCCTTTACTAAGAGGTATAATCATTCTGTGGAACATGGCCCTAAATAGAACACAAAATACTTTTAAATTTGAAAAAACAACATATATTTGCGAAAGGAACCCTACAACTAAGTCAACAAAGGGAATCTAAACAGGCAGAGTTTAGTGGTGGTAGATGGCTGCTGGGGCGGCATAGACGGGGGCCACTGGAGCCACGGTCTTGACCACGGTCTTAACCAAAGGTTCCCGGTTGACCACGGCATTGAATCCGTTGATGGGATCGGCGGTGTACTGGACGGTGCGCTTGAATCCATCGGAATCGATCAGCGAGTACTCCCCGCGGACCACATCTCCGTCGCGCTCCTCCACCTGGCTCTTGGAATCGCCGGACAGCGAGTCCTGCACATCGTAGGCGAACTTGTACTGCGGATGGGGATCGTACTCCTCGTCGGCCTTGGCCAGCACCGGATGGGCCACGGTCTTCAGGACGGCGGCGGCAGGGGCATGAGCCGCATAGGTGGCCACCGGAGCGGCATGGTACACCTGGGCGGCGGGCAGGACACCGGCACTGGCAGCGGCGATCAGGGCGAGGAGGGCCACAAACTGCAAGGAATTATGGAAAAAAAATATTTCATTTTTCTATCAAATTTAAAGATTATATAAAAATAAATATTTGAGAGTTTAAAACATTGAAACCAATTTATCTAAGAATATTTTAAGTTTATAATAATATTTATAAAGGTATATTAAAAAAATGTATAGTTTATAGATTAAAGTAAGTACTTGAAGATATTATTTATAAGAATAATTTATTAGAATGTATAATAATAACAAAATATTGTTTTGAACTTTAAGTAAACCATTTTTAAGGAAATAAAGTACTTTAAAAATTTAAATTTTTACAATACTTCTATATTTTTTTAAAATTTGTTTTATTTGACTGTAATTTTTATGTTCTTAACTTCCTGTAGGATTGATTAGTCCTTTGGCCCCAATAAACCCACCTTGAATGCCATTTTAGGAGCTTGATTTGAAGACTGAAAGTCGAGAGATGTTAGTTAACTGAACGCTGGAAGCTGTTTGATAAGAAGCACTGCAGTGGAAACGCCTTTATAGCCAAAATAGTTAGCCCAGTAACGCTGTACATAGCGCTCATTACTCAAATCTCCACAAAAAACTTAAAACCTAAAACCGAAAGCCCAACCCAAACAAAGTACCGCCCAAGGCCGACTTTGTGGACCTTTTGTGGAGCAAATCAAGCAATTGGACACACTTGGCAACCAGCAAAATACAACAAAATAATAATAATAAAACACATATATGTGCCAGTTAATATGACATTCATTCATTCATTCGGCGAGAAAAAAAGAGCTATCGTGTGTAATGTGCGTGGATATTTTGGCAAACCGGTCTGGCCAACAGCTGTCCAAGTTAATGACAACTATTCCCTCAGTTGGCTCTTAGCAATGACATAAATCGAAATAGATTTACCAAAATAGCCTGCTCGGTGCAACCAGCAACCAGTAACCAGCCGGGCCATTTAATATTTTAATCATTACTCTGTGATTTCGGGCAGCCACTCAGCTACTCAGCTTGGCCTGTCATCTTCAGCTGGGGAATCCAGAAAAGACGAGTCATGGCTGAGAATTTGAGTGATGGCTATGGCTGAAAATAAAACTGAAACTGAAGCCATTAAAATTATTAAATTTTTAAGTGAAATGTGGACAAAAATAAAAAAGGACTAGAATTTATCCCCTAAGATTCAAATTTCTAAGTTTTTTATTACCATCTAAGAGTCTATTTAATATTGGTTTTTAATTTGTTTTCTTGCCTACAAAATGTTGTAAATTATTAAACTTTTTAAATTTTAATAATTATTCCATCACTTATGATTTTGATTCTTAAGTTTTTTATAACAACGTAAGTACCTATTTTAAAAAGGTTATTAACTAATGGAAATTCTAAAATGTTAATAAATATCCTAACTCTCCAGATTTAAATAATTAAATTGTGTATTGGCTTGTAAGTATCTTCATAATATTGGTCATTAATTTGATTTTTTATTTACATCCTTTTGTAAACTATAAAACTTTCTGAATGTTTTGGTTTGCACGCCCTGGAACTTCTTAAATTTAGATACAACTGTAACGTACATTTATTGATTTCTATATAGGTTATAGGTAAAAATAAGCTGAGTTTTGCGTATTTATTGAAATATACCGACAGGCGAACATGACGTAAAACAAACATATGCCCACTCAGAGTTTAATTACGAATATGAGTTGTGGATTCTGCGGGAGATGGGAGTTGGAAAATGGGAGATGTAGATGGAGATTCTTGGCCAGCAGGAGGTCCTTGCTAATGGTGTAAATGGTGCGCAGCCTTGGCTAAATATCCGTTCTATCAAATTCAATTAAAGTTGACATGGGTTCACACAGCTGGCCAGGGGACTGCATTTGGTTTTGGGTTTCAGGCTTCAGGTTTTCTGTTTTCGGTTTTGGGTTTTGCCAGCCGGATTCTGTCAGGTTAGGTCAAGTCCAGTAGTCCCCCCATCCGGCTCCGTATCCAATTTTTGAATCAATTTCCAACGACAAACACACACGGCCCACCGAATCAAAGGAAAATACTTACGGCGGCCAAGAAAAAGTGGCCAACGCCCAAGCGTCGTAATAAGACAAACGGAAAAGCGTAGCAAAAATTGGGCAAAAGGTTCGTCCTGCCACAAGGCTTTTCACTTTTTCCTCGTTTTTCTCTTCTTTTTTTTTTTGGCAATTGCGGCACTGTGTTGCTTAAATTAAAACACAGGCAGCCCAAAGCCCCCAACCCCTTTGCCCGGAAAAAAAGAAAAGGAGGCAAATTTGCAACTGCCTTTGGATGAGAAAGTCCGGGGCAATTGTGAGATCGGGCCAGGGACATGCACTCGGGTCATGGCCCCAGGAAACCCCCTGAAACCCCATCCTCCGTCCCTCCGTTAGTCGGAAAAGGCCCGTCGGAAAAGCCCCTCCAGAAACTGCCCTTCTGTTGCTGCTCGCTGAGTGTAAATTTGCTCGTTAAATTTGTTGGCACTCTCGACTAATTTGCACTTGTAACGCAATGGTCTGAGTTTTAGTGGAGGCCTTCCAGAGGCGGCGGTTTCACAAGGGGTAGGTTTTTGCATCGGGCTAATTGAAAAGACGATGGCCAGAAGCGAATGCCCCCTATCCACCCCGTTTTCTCGGCCCACTTGAAGTTCGCAGCTAAATAGCCCCAAGTAGCTGCAGATCGGTCGTGTATATACGCAGAAAAATAAATCAAGTATTTAGCACTCGCAAACTGCAATTAAACACTTGAAAGTTGCGTGCGAAGGAAAGTGGCTGCGATTTAATTAAAGGTGCCAGCTAAGAAATCTGAGCAGTGCAGTTTTCCTTCATTAACTTATTAAAAATTAAAGTAAATATTTAAAAATATAAAAAAGTCCAATTTTAATTTAGCTTTCACTTAATTATGATTTTCTTTAAAACAATTGTATTAAGTCCAAGTTATATTTTTGATAATTATCACATCAAGTTTTATATTTTCCAAACAAAAAAAAAAAAATAAAAGAAATGTATAAATTTTTCATATAATTATTAAAAAAATGTTATATGTATTTAAAAATACAAAATAATTAATGTTTAGTGAAATTATTGTAGTTATGATTTCCATTAAAACAATTGTACCAAACCAATGTTTTTTTGGCATTTATTTTTGATAATTATCACAAAAATGATATATTTTCCTAAACAAAATTCTAAATACAACAATACATTTAAAAATACTAAATATTAATAAATACTTAAATTTGGGTTTAATCTAATTATGATTTTCAATAAAACATTTCTAGCCAAACAAATGTTATTTACACATATATTTTTGATAATTATCACACAAAGTGAGATATTTTCCCAAAAAAATAAAAGGACATTTCGTATGCAGGTCAGGCAAACATACACTAATAGGCAGACATGCGTATGCAAATGTTAATCAAAGCAAATCATTTGGCCAGGACAAGTTCATAAGTTCCGTTCCCGCTCCTTGGCCCTTAAACCACCACCGCCCCCGGGGGTTTTTTGGGGGGGAGGGTTACAACTGGAATTGGTTGGAAATATGAATAATTGGCCCGCATTAGCCGGCATTGTTGTTTCGTCGACGGGAAATCAGTTGGCAGATTAATCGTGCGGCATTCATTCATGGCCATAACCTGACGATTGATGGCCGGGCATATTGAGTCGATAAATGCGAAATGGTTGCAGCTCGGCGGGGGTAAGGTAACGCTACCCCTATGAGGCCCATCCTCCAATCCTCGAGGATTACAAGCTCCGAAATAGTGGGGCCTCACAGACTTTGGCTCATTATTATGCAGCTCATGGGCTCATCGTTAGTGGCAAAGTTATATGAGCATACATCAGCCATGCCGCACAACTTTGCAACACCCGCAGGAAGTCCTAAACTCGAGGAGAGGTGGGTGGGGATTGGGAGGCAAGGCGAGGGGGCGTGGCTCGGGGGGCCAGGAGGCGCTGTCAAGCGGCGTCTGGCAAAGCGGAAAGTGTTAAGCACAATGAAGTAAATGCTGCCAACTTCTGACATCGCCGGCATCTCCCTCAACTTAAATCCAAAATGTGGGTGCAAGAATCCTACCACCCAGCCACCCACTTTGTATCCGTTTCAAAGCTTTTCTGAATTCGCCGCAGGACTCGTTGGGGCGAAAAGTAAGGCAGGACCTTCTCAGCCGCTACGATTTTAGTTTTTTAGAATAATCATTATTTAAATGATAAACTTTATCGCTCTGTTAAAAAAGTTGGAGATTAATTAGGAAGATCGAAAAAAAAGAACCAATATAAAAAAAATATATATATAATATTTTCTAAAAATATTTCCAAATACTGTAAATTTTTAAATTATTTTTACTTTTTAAATTTCTAAAGAATTCTATGCATTTTAAAAAAGATACATGGACCATTTATCTATCATTTCTGGGGAAGTCGCAAAAAAAACGTATAATATAAAAAAAATGTATAATATTTTCAAAAAAGTTTCCTAGATACCTTTAAACAAATTTTAATTTTTGAATTTCTAAAGATTTATATACAAAAAAAAATAATAGAAAATTATGCTCAGTGCATGGTCAATTTTTCTGTCATTTTTGGCCACGTGGTTACCTCATCTTCCTGCGATTAGCTTTAATTCACTGAAAGTGGACAACTGATGAACTCTGGGAGTGGGATTGGAATGTGGACGGGAAGTGGGTGACAAGTGGGCGGGGCATTTCGTCCATTTGATGATGTGGCATTCTGGCACGGTGGCACATCATAATGGCCAAATCAATTATCAATTCCGAGCCGATTTCATGTGAGTTATTTGTGAATCGAAGGGAACTAATGGCGCCGAAATGAACTGGAAATGGAAATGGATTCGGATTTGGATTTGGGGCAATGGCATTGGCAATATGGCGAGGACATTGCTTGATTTATGGCCAAGCATATTTCCAAGTCGATGAAAGCGAATGCAACTTTAGCCCGGTTATCCAGTTGAATTTTTAGGCTTCCAGTGGATCCCGTCCCATACTGGCTACCATTCCCAACCTTTTGAGCCAAAAAGGCGGTGGAAAAGGGAGGCGAAACATCAGTTGGCCGGGTCGTTCGGTCAGCAGAATGCATCCCTCGAGTGCAGTTGGCAAATTGCACGGGAAACGTCGTTGGGAATGAGTTGCCAACTGGCGACTGCTAACTGGTAACTGGTAACAGGCAGCTGGCAAACAGGGGTTAAGGCGGTTTCAACTCCTCTGCGGCCACTCAATTTCGGTGCTGCCCTGCAGCGTAAACTGTTAGAAAATATTCCGCCTTTGAAATTAACCAGAAAATAACTAAATGGTACAAATTAGTGAAATTTTTAACCTTTAAAAAGGGTTCTTGATATTTTAAATTTTAAAGTATGGATAAAAGCATTCAGAGTTTAAAAATCACATTAACGTTAAAATGCGGACAAGAAATAGGCTATTAATGTTTAAAATAGGCTCAAAGTTAGTAAAAATATTTGAAATCTTAATAATAGTAA